GAAGCTAAAACAGAGGATGCTATGTGTACAATTCCTTGTTCTGGTTCATCTCAACATACATGTGGTGGCAATAATGCTATAAACGTATATACCACTGGACTAGAATGGAAAACAGATATAATTGGAAATTACTATCTGGGATGTTACGAGGAAAGTCAGAATAACAGAATATTTAATGGTTTTTCACGATCCTTTAAAGTGAATACTCCAGAATTTTGTTCAAACTTTTGCTACAAATTCGGATATACTTACTCTGGAGTTACATATAAATCTGAATGTTTTTGTGGAAGCCAATCACCAAATGAACCTAAGTTTCCTAGAGTGGAAGATAAGCAATGTAATACTAAGTGCTCAGGTGATGCTAATCARTTCTGTGGTGGTGGTTGGCGAATGGGAGTATTTTCAACTGGATTAAATGGTAATTTTCAAAATAAAAATAATTATATATAGCATACAAATATTTGATTGCAACTTTTGAATAAAAGGTTTAAACAGATTTTAATTAATATAAATACAATTTAGATAGATACACAACAATGAGTTGCTTAATTATACTTTATTTATACTTCAACAGATTTTCTAGTTGAAGGTCGGCTTTTGGGTTGTTTTGTAATGCAGGAAAACACATTAAACAATATAAAATTTGAACTTATTAATACTAATACGCCTAGTAAATGTTCTGCAATCTGTAATAATGGTGGATATCAATTTTCAGGAGTGTTAAGGTACTAAAATATTATTCATACAAATATACAATAAAAAATATTATTTTAGTGCGTTATCATTATATTATTTATGAACCATTGTATTGTTGTAGCATTAATTGCTACTGTGGTAATCGTGCTCCAGAAAATGATCATAAAGTATTTGAATCTGATTGCGATACACCTTGTGCGGGTGATTCAAGTAAAACATGTGGCGGTGAAGACAAAATTCAAATATATGATCTCATGAGTAATATTTGCACATTATTTACCAATTTTGATAAAACATTTTATACATTTGTATATATATTTTATAGAAGTGATAAGTATCAACATTTCTAATACAAATAGTTCAAATGATTTAGTGGATGAATTTGATACTTTAAATTTGGAATCAATTTGGAGTCATGATATTTTTATTGCACAAGATCCAGTATGTAAAAAAAATACAAAATAAGTCAATTTTAAAACTAATTTGCTGTCCCTACTCAGTCTTACAATTCATGATATACACATAACATAATAAGCACCTATTAAATGTTTATTCCTTGTTAGTTGTCAGCCATTATTGTCATTACTAAGGTATTACCTAMCAATTCAGCTTTGTAGCTTTGTTGTTATATTAGTTCAGTCACAGTAAAATCATGAACATGAACTTAATGTATTTCTTACCTGTGTGTAAGAGATAATTAATGCATGTGTAGCATAATTGCATCCTCATCCTCTTAACATTTTACGTTTGAAACATTGTTTTTAAAAATTAAAATATTTACTTTTTATTAACTACCTATTTAATTTTTACAMATTTAATGTAATTTGATCAAGTCTTATTATAATTTGGTTCATTATTTGAATATAGTTTATAATATTATATTCAAGCACTTACTGAAAACTGGAATTAATAACATAGATTAATAGATATATTATTTGTAATAACCTCTAATAAAAGTAAAAAAAATATTTACCTATGTTAATTATATTAAATGTTTATTATAGGATTATGAATTTGTTGTTTACAATAATTCTGAAAAGAACACATTAATCAAAAATGGAGAGTTAGTTATCAAGCCTACAATTCTGTCAGATAATTATGTCAAGAATGGTTGTTTAGTCYTGAAAGGGTAGGCTATACACATATATTATATTACATACCACAGATTATATAATCTGTATTATACTGCTATTACTACARAATATATCAAATATTCATATATTCTGTGCTATTACTATGCTATATACTATATTATGTATATTTGTATATTATATTTATTTTAATTTAATCAAATTATATCATTATATGTAAATACAAATAAATATTTGATATTCTATATTTTTATTTTTAGTTGTACTAAATATGAAGGATCTAATGGATGCTCTATGAATGCTTCATCTTATAATATAATACCTCCAATAGTTTCATCTAGACTTACCACAAAAAATAATATGTTATTCCTTTATGGACAACTAGAAGTAACAGCTAAAATGCCATCGGGAGATTGGATGATACCAGGTAAATAATTCATAATAATGTAGTATATAATATTATTTATTTTAATATTAGCTATTTTAATCATTCTAATAGTTAATTGTCTTATTGAAAATTTCTAATTGTTTTTTCTTAAATTTAATTTTAATAGAAATAGCTTTGGTTAGTAAAACTAATGAACAAAACAAATTTATATTGGGTACATTGTTTGGAAATCAAGATTTAAAATGTAATGGTGAAGATGAAAGTAATTCTGTTCTAAAATATGGATTAAAAATTGACGAACAATATCATTTAAAATCAATTATGATGAAATCRACATTAGCTAGTCRCTGGTCAGAAGATTATCATAATTTTGTATTGTCTTGGTCTCCTGAAAACATTGTATTTAAAATTGATGGAGAAAGTCACCAATTAGATGTGTCAAATCTACCATTGGACTTAATATTTGACTCTGAAGTATATTAATTAGTTGTTGTGTATCATTTTATTTTGATAATTTGAACATTGAATTTTGAATTTCAGTATTATATATCTATTGGTGTGTCAGTTGGTGGCATGACAAATTTCCATGATGGATGTTTAAGCAACGGCCACTTAAAACCATGGAAAAACTTTGATATTAAGGTTTACATTTTTATTTATTTTACACATTTTAATATTTATATAATATTTTAAATACATGTTATTTTAAAAAATGTTTTAGGCTATGTTAAATTTCTGGAAGGACAGAAATCACTGG